CAGAGGAAAAGGAGGAAGCATGGTCTGACAGGTGACAAGCCATTTTGCGAAGCCGCCAGTCAGCTGTAAAAATCGTTGTCTTGCGAGGCGTCGGTCCCAAAAAAAGTCTTGCGAAGCACAGACTGAAACATTGTCCAGTGAAAATTGCCCATAGGAAACACTGTTTTGCGAAGCGCAATGGCGATCGCAAAAACTCATCATCATGCAGATCCGTCGTTTTGTGGGGTCATCGTCTAGCGGGGCACCACTGTAATTCTGAATATAATTATCTGAGCTTCTGTTGTGCATTTTAGGGGACTTTAAGCAGATCCCCACAATTATGAAGAACATTTAGACCAGCTCTGCATTCTATTTAAACAATACTTCTACCATTGAAGATGACAGAAGGCCAACAATAAAATGAGAACAAAAAAAGCCAGATTCACAGCAGCAAAGCTGTTCTTCTCTTGCGTACATCTTGCTGTCAGGCACCTGCCATTTGAATGTGTTGAGCGATTCAATCTCAGAAGGCATTGACAACAAAATTAGGATTGCTTTATTCTTTTGTTGCCCAATCTGGGATGCTTTTGAAGCCAATGAAGAATTCTAAATTGCTTAATTCAAGTTTTCTCTCTCATACAGACATCTGGAAATAAAGCCCATTTAAAACAACAAGACTTCCATTCAAGTAAATATGTATAGGGGTATAGGAGCAGCCAATGTAGGTTTGAACTGTAATATTTACCTAACGTTTACTACTGAGTCCAAATCTACTTTTCACCAGATACCATGATCATATGATAATTTTTTCTATTCTTACATAATTATGTATCCACCCCACCACCAAACATGCACACATTTTCCTCTTGTGTTAAGGGTGCAAAATCAGGTCATAAGGATGGATGAGAAAGTCTGAAAGGCACTACTGACAACTAAAAGAGAGGAGTGACTATAGAAAAACTACAGAAAACAGTAAACAGGCAGTTGATGTGGCACTCTAACTGAATCAACCAGCCTATCACATGCCTTCTGTAAGAAAATGTCGATTTAGAAATTCTATGTAGATGAAAAAAATTCTAAGACTGTATACAGTTGGTGTGCACTCTCACATTTTCCCCATGTCATCAGACATTTTGACCCAGCTTGCCTTTTATTAGAGATTTAAATTATTTTTTCAATTCCCCCACTCCTTCCATTTTCTCCATCTGTTCAGAGGAAAACATTAAGAGAGATACAGAGGGCACTAAATGTTTCATGCTATTTTTACATTCTTTCTTGCAAAGTCACAGAAGCACAGTTGAAAATATCTTTCCTAGTAACTTAAACAAAAATGTAGCTTTAAAAAATAGGAAAGAAAAGACTCAAGGCTTCTGGTGCTATACTCATGACACATCCTGATATGTCCATCTTTATTCTCCCATTTTTGGAGTGTTGACATCAGTGAAGTGAAAGCTGTGGATTATTCTCCAGGAGCAGAAAGGGGGATCAAAACTGAGATTTCTTCTTAAGTCAGAATTTTTGTCTTCTTCCTAGGGTAGTATTGTACTGGAGGTGGTAAGTATCATTTTAGAAAATGTATTCCTGTTTTAGAGCATGGAACAGTAATATTTATGTGCGCCATCTGGAAATGAAGAAATTGTGTTTTCATCTTTAAAACTTGCGAATTAAATTCTGAAGATTTCATCCACTAGCATTAACAAACTAGTTATATCAAATGAGCGAGATTTCATTTAATTCGGCCTAGAAAATATGCCATGCAGGCATGATGTACATAAATATGGAATGTACCACAATAATGTGATATGAAAACCTAATTTTGACAGATGTGGTTTCTGAAGTCTTTAAGAAAAGACTCAAATTAGACTTCGATTTCAGTTTTTACTGTTCAGGCAACTGTATCCACAAGAACTTTTTCCAAAGAAGGGGCAAAGTTGTACAGTAGTTGCTACAACACAAATTGGTCACCCTCGGATTACTCTCTCCCTGTCCAGTTGAGAATACCAAGTCTAGTGTATGACCAGCGACATGGGTGGGAGTGTTAACATGTTGGGACATGTCCAAGGAAGCCATGGTTTCCAAGAATTCAGGAGCTGGACCTGTAACCCCTGCCTCAGCATGGCCATTGAAGTCCCCCAGGACAAAAAGCCTGGGGCACCTCAATGCTGCCGCTGAGACGAGGCCACTGGGGGAGGTCATCAGGAATTTTGGAGCTTCATGTCATCAATATGCAGATGACACCAAGCTCTATTTCTCCTTCTACCCTTCTGCAGTGGATGCTGTCCCATCCCTTGAGTGCTGCCTGGATGCTGTACTAGGGTGGATGAAGGAGAACAGACTGAGGCTGAACTCAGACAAGTGACACTGAACCCTAGTGTCTGTGGTTTGAGTGCCTCCCTTTCCTTTGGGGAGGTCTCTCTTACTGCAACGAATGAGGTGTGCAGCTTGGGTGTACTTTTGGAGATAGCGCTATCAATGGAATCTCAGATAGCATCTGTGGTCCGAATCGCCTATTTCCATCTAAGACGAATTGCTCAGTTGCATCCTTACCCTGACACCAGGTCCCTCACCATGCTGATTCATGCACTGGTAGTCTTGAGATTAGACTACTGTAATTCTCTCTACATGGGGCTGCCCTTGGTGCTGTCATGGAGACTTCAGTGAGTTCAGAACTTGGCCACCAGATTGCTAAGTAGGGTGAGGAGATGTCATCAAATTTTCCCCACCCCAACCACCCTGCACTCGCTACCTGTTTGTTTCTGTGCCAGCTTCAAGGTAATGGTGTTAACATGCAAAGGCCTAAATGGTTTGGGAGCTCGTTATCTGTCCGACCAGATCTGCCCATCCTGTAAGATCTTCCCAGGCTGGGCAGTTGAGGGTTTTGACCCCGAGACAGGCTTGGAAGTCAATGACTAGAAACTGGGCCTTCTTGGCAGTAGCCCCGCAGTTGTGGAATGCTCTCCCGCCCGAAATACACCTGGCACTTTCACTGGGAACTTTTAAGCAATTATTAAAAACATTTTTATTCAGGCCTTCACGGACTCTACTTTATCTTGATTCAACAGCTAATGTTCAACCCCACCATGTTTTTCCTTTTCCTAATATTATTTTTATTTAATATTGTACTGATTAATTTATACTTTCCCCTGTTATTGTATTATTTTATTTTATACTGTCTTTTATTATACTATGCAAACCACCCAGAATGGCCTGGGTTGCCAGATGTGTGGTAGGGAAATCAAATAAATAAATAAATAAACACAGGGTACATTTTTCTTGTGTGTGTTCCCACATGCTTTAGCATCACATTCAGTTATATTTAAAAGTCTAGAAGTGGGAAGAAAACTTGGAATTTGACAGCCTTAATACAGAATGTAAGAGGCATCATGAACTTCAAATGTTTATGTGGAATGAGGAACATTTTAAAAAAGAAAAAGAGGTGAGAACCCTAAATGAATTAACTTGGTACTTACAAATCAACTGCATATTTTCTGACATCACTTACCATGGCCCACAAAGGAAGAAAACACTAATTCTGTACCAAAATATTTTGTGCAATCTATGTAAATCTTAAAAGGAAAAAAAAACTCCTAGCGTCATTCTTGGCTGGAAGCAAGAAACTGAATGGGGGAATTTCTCTAGGCATGTTGAAAAAGCTTTTCTTTTTAAGAATAAATAACTTCCAAAGAATTTATCACATCCTCAATTGTACTGCAAGTAACCTTCGTGATTCCTGTTTCTAAGGTCCTTTGTACATACATTTTATCTACTGCTAGAAGTATATTTAGGTGACATAAAGAACAACTCTATATGTTTCCACTCAAAGAAACATGTCCCATTATCTTCAGTAGTATTAATTTCTAAGACACTGTATTTGGTGGGGTGGGGGTTTTGTTTTGGGGAGGGGTTGGTTTTTTTTGTTTAATTTGTTTCTTTGTTTTTTAAAAAAATTCTGGCTATTTTCCTTTGCACACATGCTTAGATTATATGCACTTCACTTATATAGCAACTAAATTCTAGAGCAGTGGTTGTAGAACAGGGGTAAATTACCCCAAATAGGATAAAAATGAAAATCCTGGGGGTAATGAGCAGAGTGCTACCCCCCTACTCCCACCCCCTGCAGCTGAACCTCAAACTGGAAGCCACCTCTCCCTGCTACCTTCTTTGGTTGTGGCACTTGTAAATCCGTTCTTTCAGAGATCGGAGATAAGGCTGCTTGATTGGTTACAGCTGTAGAACAGCCCCAGACAGTCAATCCGGCTTGTTTTAGGATGTTTTTCCTGATACTCAATCAAAATCTGGCTTCCTGTGACTTGAGCCCATTGTTCTCCACTTGGGGACAACTGAGAACAAATCCTGCCCCTCCTCTTTATGACAGCCTGTCAAGTGCTTGAAAAGTGCTATCATATCTCCTTTTCTCAAGGCTAAACATGCCAAGTTCTTTCAGCCTCTCCTCACAGGGCTTGGTTTCCAGTTCACTGATCATCCTTGCTGCCCTCCTCTGAACTTGTTCCAATTTGTCAGCATCCTTCTTGAAGTGTGATGTCCAGAACCCCATGCCATATACCCATCCAGAGACCTGGAATCTGTCTAGAATCTACCTCAGGAAGAATCTGCTAGCAACTGTAGTTTTAAATTTACCAGTCACAAAAACAGTTTAATCGGAAACTGAAAGTATCTTGTTATGAATTTTCAGAAAATATAAAATAGGAATAACCACTTACAAAGTAACAAAACATGCCTACATTTTGTTGCTTTATGCAATGTTTGCTTGTTCGAGGGAATTATGAACACAAAACCTTGAGTTTAAATCATCTGAAACAAGACTGGAATGCAGAAATTTGATGTTTCCCCTCTTTCTTGTAAATTACTTTTAAAATAACATAAGAAGCCATGCTACTCATTTTCTTATATGCTATAGATAGAACATGGAATTTGTTCTATTTAACACCTATGCCTAGTAGGGTTCCATCTGTCTGCACAACTAAAATATCCATTATTCACATGTGGAAAGAAACACTTACAAAGAAGGATCTTGGACAAGGTCTTTAAGGTTTATTCCGCTGCGATCCTCTGCCAAGTTCCTGAAGCAGCTGTCACTCACTAAAAAGAAGAAAAAAATAAACTTATAAAAGATGAATACATGCAAAGAATGTATTGTATTTTCAAACCAGTTAACCAGATATTGGTTTTATGGTAAACTGTCATGAAAAACAATTAGACTTCAATCAACTTCATTAGATACCGAATTTTATTCTTAAAATTTCAACACATTTGCAAGCAAGCTGACTGAAAAACACAAATTTTAGAATCAAGGCTATGAGCAGGGACCAAACTATTGGAAGCTTTTAGTTCTGAATATTCACTCAAACAACCTAACCAGCAAACAGCACATGTGCCAAGTAAAACAGCATTGGAATTATGTTGTTTAACATGTCAACTCATTCACATGTAAAGCAAGTGGTTTGTGAAACTTACTTAAATAGTTCAAAGGAAAACACTATGCGAAATCTTGAAAGAGAACTGTCTTAGTGAAAGTGGCCTTCACACATTTCTACAGATTCTCTGCCACATCTTAAAAATAACAGATGGTACTCAGCCAGCCACACTTTAGTCCTACTGAAATCAATAGAACAATTTAGTGATTGATTTCCATAAGAATAAAGCATGACTAACTTATTCTGGATAAATCTCTCTATGTATACACCAAACAGTGCCCCTTTTAACTTCTCAATGATAATTCATTTCCTTCAACTTTCATCTAATACTGGAATAATCACATTATGAAAACTCAGTAGCCCTCAAACTGGTTAAATTCACCTGTTTCTATACCAAGACAAAGCTTCCAATCTTAGAGAGAATAAAATTAACATTTAATAAGACCTAGAGAGTTGCTGAATTCCATTTTGTTTCCACTCAGTATTCTTGTTCAATGTGTATATATACATACAAAATATATACATGCACAAGGAAGATAGGGAGAACTATATTATGGAGGGTACAAATGAAAAGAACACAACTGTTCTGCTGTAGCACAGCGGCACAGTGTGACAATCTGGAGAGGCATCTCTACTCATCATAGCACTTCAGTGAGACTTACACTTCCCATACTGCCTACACGCAACATAATTATCACACAACTAGTAAATGTTCAACTGCATCACTGGTTCAGAAACAACCCCAAACCTTTCCCAGTATTTGGGGTTCCCTCAATTAACTGTGCCTTCCAGTGAGTGTCACCTTGACCCTGCTGGTTTAAAAATACCAGGGAGTACTCAGACCAAAGTTCATGTTATACTTTGGTAATTCATCTAGGATTACAGACTGCCTGCTAAGAGTGCCTTCTCACAGGTTCTGTGCTCCTGTGATCTTTCTTATGTGACATTGGCTATATCGAGTATCTGATGTAGAGTGCCCAAACTGTACGTACAATACAAATGAATAGCTGTCTGACATGATGTGAATGGCCTGTCCTCAAAGGACTCTATGGAAGGAGATTGATGTTTTGACTACTTTTTAGACTACAACCTCCAGACTTCTGCAGGAATTCCTCTCTCAGGCATTTTTAATTATCTACAGTTGAGGAATAAGTTCCCTTAACTGATGGACACAGTAGAGACACAAATAAGCTGAAGACCTTTTCACCTCATTTTCCTGGTCTTTAGAGAAGGCAAATTTGCAATAGTGATGGTAGCATTGATCTTGACTTTTATGAAGTACAGTATATGGAAACCACAGAGGACAATCTGGACTTTGTTCCGCTACCTACAAGACTCAGGTGGTAAAGAAGGTGAAGGATGCTGGACAGATCACAGAGAAGGGCAGAACAAGAGGTATCTACAGGATGTTCCTATGGATGCACTATGATTCCTAAGATGATGATATATGCCACAACAATTTTGTAAAGATGCATGGGGCTGTGACATGCCAAAGAGTAAAACTCTGAACTGGATATCCTCACATGAAAAGAGTGAATATTGGTGTGAAGTATGCATCCTAGAGATCTATGGATGTATACCAATCCCTCTGGCGGAGGAGGAAAGGAAAGATGCCTTGGATGGTAACCATCCAGAAATGCTTGGTAATAATGAAAACACTGACATAGCATAGACACAGGATACACCATCCCTTTTTGACACTATAATGTATCTGGACTAGAAGCCTCTGGTAGCAAGGTATGGTGATACTCTTTGTGTTTCTCCCCTCATAAGTAAAAACAAAGCAAAGCAAAATGTGCTGCTTATCTACCACCCCAAATCACTCTCTGGGCAATTTAGTATTTAATTATGGAGGCTACATATTGCCCCTCCAACTGGGTACTCAGTTTATTGATCTTGGAAGGATGGAAGGCTGTGTTAATCTTGAACCTGAGCCCAATGGGATCGAACTCAGGTCATGAACAGAGTTTTGACTGCAGTACTGCTGTTTAACCACAGCACCATGGGCCTCCTTCAAGTAAGGTATTACCTGTACTGTATGATGCTTTCTGGAGGCAGAGTGTTGAACTCTATGGTATAGCCTGAGCACATGATAAAGAGCACCCAAGAGCCTGTTGTCATAGCCTCCAAATGGTGGTAAAATCTGTCCATGAATGGAGTGTGCTGAAAAGAGGTGTCAGAGACTCAGTTTTGTCACTGGTAATGGCATCTTCTTGGTGTCAGCTCAAAACATAGAGGTGATGAGGAGCTGTTGGGACCTGTAAAGATGCCTGACATGAGGACCTGTGCAGAGGGGTCCTGGAGTAATACTAAGTGTAACAGAACTGTCTGCATCTGGCCTGTGACTAGGATGAGAAAGTATGATGATAGATGTCAAGATGTTCAGCTCTGGCATGTAGTTTGTTGTCATGCTCAAGTTTATCCTCACTCTTATTGCTGAATAGGCACTTTGCATTAAAGCAAACATCTTCTATGTTAGAGTGTATCTCAGAAGCAAGACCTGATTATGTGAACCAAATGTGTTATCACAGTGCTTCTGCCAAAGTCTCTGCAGCTGGATCAACAGCATGATGCACCGTTGATTTTTTGGGCTGCCAGACAATGAACATCTGACTAGAAAAGCAAGGCAATTTTAAGTTAATCCTCTGAAAAGTTGTTAAACATTGGGAAGAGCTGCTGATTAGTGCCCATGTAGGCAGCATAATTTACAATCCTTAGGGACAAGGAGTCTGTCCGTCACATTCAGCTTTTTCCCTTCACTGTTAACATGTCCTGAATAACAGCAACATTTGTCTGCCCTCTGCTGTGTCCACTATGATGGAATTTGGGAAAGGATATTTGAACATGAATTCTGAGTATTTTTCTTCACTGCAGTAGAGCTGGTCAATTTTTCTGGAGGTTGGTGGAACAGATGCTGCTACTGCCCTCATTGTCTGATGACATGCAAGAGAAATGGAAGCATTGGGATTCTTGTCAGAATTGCAGTTCTTGAATACTAGGTCAATGACTGGACAAGGTGGCTTCTAGATTTCAGGTTCCACACCTGATGCCTTGTGGATCAACTAATCTGAGAAATCCCTCACCATCCTCTGTGTGTGAAGAAGAGCTAGTCTCTGCTACTGGGCCCACAGACACATGAAGACATTGAAGTTTGATGACTGTGGTGGTATGGATTCATAGCTATCTGAATCCAAGGAGTTTTCAAAGTACTTCAAGGGAGGGAGTTATCTGTTTGGAGGTTTGTGGTTCAGCGGTAGCTGGTAGGATGGAAGAATTGGCAATATGGGTGTGATTGCTGTTGAAAACTGACTGATGGCAAGGATGGCACAGTAGCTAGTATAGTTTTCAAAGCTGAAGTAATTGTTGGATCTGGTAGTATAAGGAACAGAAGAAGCTATGTGGAAACAGGGGCTCGATTTAACAAGTTTGGAATGGAGGCAGTTTCAATCAGTGTCAAATATGATACCATGTATTTTTCAATAAAGAAATTTATTCTTAAAAACTTGGTCTTTTGAATGGTATTTTGAACAGCAAGTCTGCTCAGCCTGCTTCCAGAATAGTTGTTAGGCCACAGAATGCTACAGAGTCCTTTTTGCCTGAGCTTTGATCGTTCTTGCAGACTCCAAAGCTCTTTTGTTTTCTCTTGCTAAACTTAATTAAGTACAAGCAAGTGTCTTTTTAGAACAGACTTGTGATAAGGGGCTTGTGTTACGTCCTGGCTGAGTCACCTGGACTCTGCTCAGCGGTTTTGGAGTGCAGACACCCGGACACACTCTGTTCAGGAATCAAGCAGTCCTTTATTTCAGTGGTCCCCAACCTTGGGCCTCCAGAAGTTCTTGGACTTCAACTCCCAGAAATCCTGGCCAGCAGAGGTGGTGGTGAAGGCTTCTGGGAGTTGTAGTCCAAGAACATCTGGAGGCCCAAGGTTGGGGACCACTGCTTTATTGGATGTTAGGTTCTGACAGGCTTTACCACAGCATAACAAGCAACAAATTAGCTTCTTTTTTCCTTGATTAGAAGACCTGGTAATGCTGGCAGGAAGTCCCATATGTATCAAAATCATACAGTCATATGCTCCAAAGTGCTCATAAAAATGAAAAAAAATATAGAAACAGTATGCAAAAGTAATGCTTAAATTTCATAACGGGGGATTTGATCTTAAGATGAGGAAAAAAATACGGATGTGCACCAGAAACCAAAATTCAAATTCAGAAACTGGATTCAGAATTCAGGACTTCAGATACAGAATTTTAAAAAGTTGGAAATTCTGGATAGCTTACAGTGAATGTGAATACTACACAGTCATTCTCTTCCCCTTTTTAAAAAACACACAAAAATGCAAGACATTTTTAAAGGATTTCTGTGTCCTCTGAAATAATCAATGTGAAAACACACCTTTGGGAAACCTATCGCAACCCCTATCAGGAGACACTGAGTTCTCTACCCCTACTACATTTGGTGCTAAAGTTTCTTTAAGTTTAATTTCTCAAGAGATCATTCATTGTTGCCTAAGAAACAGGTTTCACTTTCACTTCTTCCGCTAGCATGTAGAACCTAGCCTTTTGCTTTCTAAATCTATAGGAATACATGGAACTCCAAAGATTACAAATTACTGTATTATGACATTTATTCAGAACAATCTGAATATGTCATCATTCGGTCAAT